GTATAATTTAAAATAACAATCATTAGATTTAATATTATTAATAAGCTTTTTAATTTATTTTATAAAATATGATGTATAAGAAGTGATGATACAACCTATAATTTTAAAATATATTATCTGCCCTTAAGTAATATACTTTTTTTAGTTTAAATCATTAAAATATTAGAATAGTTAAACTTATTAGGAGGTGAAAATATCAGCTTCATTGATTTAACTACAAATCATTAGATCAATATCCATATCAAAGTTTATATAATCTTTAAATACATATTACATATTATTAAAATATACATATAAATTAAATAGTACATTTTTTTAGCTTAGAAATTATTATTATTAATTTTTCTTGCATAAACACGAACTATATACCAATAAGAATCAAACTCAAATAGCTCATCTTTTGATGCTTTAACCAATTCATCATATTCATAATCAGAAATGTTTAACGTTTTCATTAACAATGGTTTAAGAGAATTATATAAAGTACTTATATTACTGATAGCCTATATATTTTATATCGGGTTAAAAAACTTTTAAAAATGATTTCTTAAAACAATGTAATTGTATAATACATTACCACTTTACTAAGTTCAATATTATTTGTCTTTGCACCATAATAGCATTGTTTTGCTTCTTTTTTAATATTTACTAACTGACCTAATTTAAAAAACAATCAAATTAATTACTAATGAATTATAATATAAAAATTAAATGAATAAAAACCTTGATTTTGTGCATATTCTTCTAATTTTTGATATGTATCCCAATCTATGCCTTTTTCCTCCATTACTTTTGCAGCTTTATAATAATTGAATGGAACATGATATAAGTAAAAAATTTGAATTTATTAAAATATCTTTATAATACGTACCTGTATACCATAATCGTTGATTAACAGGTCCAACATCAAACAGATTAGAAAATTCGCATAGCTGAATTAAAAAAAAAAAGAATTAATCAGCCATAATTATTTAAAGAATTTACAGTGTTTAAAATCCATCAAAGGTGAGGTTCGCCTATATTTTACTTTAAACTTTGAATAATTTATTGAATTTAAGCTTTAAGATTAGGATTGATTACCCAGGCCACTTTTGAGAAATCGAGTACTCAGTGAATTTCACCTCCAATGAACGTTAAAATTGAACATTATCATAATAATGACAAAATAAAAGTACCTCTAAGAATCCACCTGGTTTTAAAACCCTGACCAATTCATTCACTACGTATGGCCACTTATGTTTAGGATGACTAGCAGTTAAAAATCGATGAAACACAAAATCAAAAGTGTTATCTTCGAATGGTAATCCGTCTAAAACATTTCCTTTAATGAAAGTAAAATTTTTAGGTTTTATTTGTGTAGGTTGATGTGATGATATATCTATTCCAATAACATCAGCTGATGGATATCTAAAAAATAATTAAAAGATTTATAAATGTAATAAGAACTGAGTGTACTGCATTCCGAAGTATTTTATATAGGTTACACTCACGTAGTTGCCATATCAAATGACCATGACGCTGCGCCACACCTAAAACGTAATACATACAAGCGTTAATTTTTTGACAACAATGGAAGATTTTTTTTAATCCGTATATAATTTAGAAACTTTTTTTAAAGAGATAAATTATATTATATCGATAAGTCAAGAGTATAAATGTAATAAATTTCAAAGATATATAAATTTAGCTTATAATTTATTATTTGAATCCTAATAAATGTTTTAAGTTCCTATCGAGATTAATAATTTTTGTAGACTAATGCACCCTAATTTCATTTTATTTTATAATAATTAATCAAAACTATAATGATAACATTTACGTACCCAACATCTAGAATTTTGGAATCAGATTCAGACAAAATATTTTCGATGGGAGCAGAAAAGTTGCTTTGAAAAAGATATCTTATCAAAAAATGTTGTAAGTGTAATCTATCTTGTTCATCATCATCATTTGGTAGAGCATAGATGACATTTTTTACATTATGAAATCTTCTACCATCAGCGTATTTAAATTCTGTTTTCGAACTTTGTGAATCGATAGAATCACCTCTTTTTAATTCAGATGTAAAACACCCCATACTAATTAAGATTTAAAATGAAATGTCAGGTAATCGAAATTTTATGGTTTTTAACGAATTTAGTAAAATTTGATATTTAATAATTATCAAAAAGGATTACCAAAAAGGATTCACAAAATTAATAAAATGATTATTATTTATTAATTAAAATAAAATATTTATTGTTTATTATGCTTTATCGATTGTTTTCTCAAAACTATTGGTACAATGAATTGAATTTATTGCGCTTTGTAACCTCAAAATTATTAATTTTTTATGAAATGGTCATAGTTACGATCGCAATTCATTATAAATGTGAGTTTGTGTTGGCTTAAGGGTAGGGTGTCCGTAATAGTAATCATGTGGTTTTCATATGAAATCATCAGAATCGTAAAAACAACCAATCGGAATCAGTAATTTTTGGGTGACATAAGAAAATTTGGGTCACCTATCAATATACGAAGGTGGATTTTTGGTAAAGATCTATCAGGAGCTATATAAAATTTTAATGTGCCATGTAGATCATAACTAAACAGATTTATCGATATTGTTATGATAAATATAAATTGCTCAGCTTTAGCAATCATTCGAGGTGTCGTCAGTCAAATCGTACTATAGTGAGATTAAAAAACTAAGTTGTTACAAATAACATGTTACAATCCATATTGTGTAAATCTCACTTTGGTACATTTTAATTGACTACACCACAATATTATAATAAAAATTAATAATCATAGGAATTACATAATTCTCTACTTTACATAACTTATTATAATAATCATGTTGATTACACAATTTTTCTATTTTGCATGACTTATTATACAATAATTAAGTTCATTGCACAAGATCTTATTATTGTATGATCTGTTGTTTACAATGATGTTTTAATTGAATGCATAATCGGAAATTTATTAAACTCTTTTGAACATTAGCAAACCATTACGGTGCGTTAGCGAATTTTGGTTACCAAATCCAATCATTTGATCCTCAAACTATATATTAATAAATCAATGTTAACCCCAAAAAAGTTTCTTGGACTCATTTTCCCCACAGGCTAATCCATCTTCCCACTTCCGACGCATCTCATTAGACATAGGAATTTATTAAAATGACGCATCATAACTTGGGGAATGTTGATTATCTCAGTAAAATCTATATTTACATATTGGAGTCAAAAATTTTCAAATTTCGCAAATGCGCCGTAATGCAACGAAATATTTCAATAAGAGAGCTCCTTGGTGAAAATAATAATCTTAATAAATATATAGCCTAATTGGTGATGTGATAACTCTGTAATATTAAAGCGTAACTTCAATTTAAAATATAAAATTATAAGATAGCTTTGTATAACATATTATAAAAAATAAAAAATTTATTTAATAATATTAATCAGTAATCACAACTATACACTATTCGAAACTAATAATAATGAGCAGTTTTCTTATTTATCAATTTCTACTCAGTGCACAAATTTGTGGCATGACGTGTCCTGATATTTTTCTGGTGAACTTTTTATTAAACAGAATTTAGAATTTGTAGCCGTAGGTAGTAACGATAGTAATAATCAGTTATGATATAAGAATGCGTTAAATTTCTGAACAAACGAAAATTATGATATAAGAATGTGTTAAATTTCCGAACAAACGGAAATTTCCCGACCATCAAAAATTGCTCCGGAAGTTTTCTTAATTTCCAGTATTTTACAGTAAAATTTTGATGTATTAAAGTAATAATAGTATTCTTAATAATCGAACTTAAACCAGATCAAGTTTGGAACGGTTATTTCTTGTTATCTGGATGCATGACGTATACACTAACGGATATTTTTCGTATTATCCGCAACTTTTTATATCAAATCTGTCACACGATTTTAATAAAACCCCGAAAAAAATTTCCGTCAGTGTTTACATAGTACCTGTCGGATAATTAATATTTATCTTGTCATTGTGAAGCCAATGTAAAAATTTTAAACCAATCAAGTTCTGTCGTAACCAAGGATGCTCTCAATCACTTAAATTAATAGATCGGTGCTCAATTTTTAATTAGCGGAACATAATTTGGACGGTTAAGTAAGCTTGTCATCGCAATGAAAAAAAAAGATGGTCTAGACTACTTTTTTTTATCATAGAGGTGTGTTTATTGTCTAAAATTTAAGATCCACATTTCGCAATATGAACCTTCAGCAGAATTGCCGTAAGAATGAGCTCAATTATTTATGATGCTTGGCCGATCTCGTTTACTAGTTGATCAATTGAGGGAGATGCTTGAGAGCACCCCAGGACATTTTTTTCCCTTTTAGCCGCCATAAAGCGTACTTTATTGTGTCATACATCATTGTACAATTAACTTAGTAATAGTTATCTATTTACATAAAGTGTATTATTATTTGAAATTTAGTATTGGAGTATTTCTTGTCATTGGGTCGCATTTTTTGAATTGGGCCAAAATTAGAAACCTCGAATTACAATTTGTCAACTGCATGATGTATCTATTAAACTGATCCCTCAAATCAATAAAACCAATAAAGATTCTTTTTACCGTTAAAATTCATTTCTTATTAATATATATTCGCAGCTGAAGCTGGAAATTAGGGACCTCGATTTAAAATTATAAACACTACCAAAATCCACCTAGATTCTTTTATTACAAAAGCTAACCCTAAATCCTAACTAGTGATACAGACCGGCCCTGACCCGAGATTTTTTCAACAGCACATATTACTAATCCTAACCCAAATAAAAATCCACAAATTTTTGAAAATTTAATATTAAAGTAATTAAAATTTCCAGCTTTAAATCACGACATATGTTTATAATCAAATGATTTGACCCACGTCAAGATCTATCATAACTACATCATAAATTTAGGATAGTGTTAAAAGTCACCCTAATACTATTCTTTCAATAGCTTGCTCTCTCAAAACGGCTTTTAACACTGCTTTTGAATTAGTTTGTTTATTTAATTTTGTGATTCTTTGTTATAGCTGTTTTAATAAATTATCAATTCGGTCGTCGGAAAATTGTTTAGCCTTACCAAACCGGATAATCTGTGCTTTGTACTTTACTAGGATCTTCAAGTACAAGATTTACACAAAATAATCAAAAATAATAAGGCTGACTAAATTAAATTAAAATTTAATCATTATACAATAGGGCTTTAAAGATTACAAGAATAGTACGTGCATTTTTCTGAAATAAGTAGTAGAGTTTAAAAATCGAATCGAAAGTTTGGATGCACCCATTTCACAAAGTGAAATTTGTGTGATCGTGCGTAACAGGATGTTACACGGCTGATCCTTCAACCGTTGTGCAACATATAAACAAATTATTGTCCGAAGCGATTATGCAAGATGCAATCACAAGTGATGCGTAACTTATTTATACACTTTAAAAGTACAGTACTATAAATCTCGTTCCAAACCCAGCCAAACAGTGTTTTCTTATGCTTCGGACTAGGGATGTCAACGGTTTGGTCATGTCCGTGACCGATACCAGTTCGGTCACAAATCCTGACCGACCGAACCGACCGTTTGACCGATACTATATTTTGTTATTTATCATTGTAACGATGGGGTGTCCAATGTACTATGTAGATCAAATATATGTATAGTCCCATATAAAAATTAATAGTAGATTTTTTTTTTAT